GAGGGGTGAACCAACCCAGGTCGGAAACGGAGCAGGCGAAAGCCCCCGTGCTGATGCGTGCTGGGACAGCTCCTGTGAGCAGCTGCTGTGGTGCAGCCCGGGTGACAGAGTGGGACGCGGTCTTTTGCAGACCCGTCTTTTCGCCAAAAGCCGCTCCAGTTTACTCTTTATACCGTGTTATGTTTCTTGGCACAATACTTAAGACGAAACAACCTCCGATCTCCGTGTTTCGCCGGCTTCTCTCTAGGAGCGCACAGTGACTCGAAGCAAGGGGCCTGAACCAGGTGCTGGAAACAGCGGGTGTCGTGTCTTTTTTTCATCTTTTCAGCTCAAGTGGTGTCATTCATGCGTTCCAGAAAGTCGACGTCTGCTGTCTGAATTCAAGTGATTCTCCCAAAGACCCGAGCAGAGAGCCGGATCAGCACGTAGTCGTGGCCGAGAGGTTAAGGCGATGGACTTGAAATCCATTGGGGTTTCCCCGCGCAGGTTCGAATCCTGCCGACTACGCAAAGCCGTACCGCCAAGCGGTGCTTTTTGAACGACCTCGACGACAGGACGGGTTGAAAGACTAGCGGACATCGGGGTAATTTCAATGGATTGGCACCACTTCAAACCGTTACCCTGATGACTGGTTAAGTGCGTAAAAGCTTGTTGAAACTCATAGTGTTTAGTTTAGTCTCCTGTGACGTAACCAATTCTTCTAAACAAGACACTGCCAGTATTCACTGGAAGATAAAACAATAATTTCAGAGCACTATGCCATCATTATTTCTAATATATGATGTGCCACCTGTTGTACTTTCATGCAGAAAAAAATATATCTGAATAAAAACAGAAACAATGATCTAATGAAACAGAATATTCTAAAAAACGATCATTTAGACAGGGGTGACAATGAAAAGCACAGTCACTTCTCTACAAATGTGAATTTTTGATGGGGATATTGATCTATTTCAGTTTCTATAAAATACAAAAAACAAAGCAAGATTCACCAAGGAAATGTATCTAAAATATGCATGGTCTGGTCTACTGTATGACTGCACTCAGATGTTCAGACAGGAAACAATGAGCAGGAGATAGGAGTGACTACATGGTGTGATAAGCAGTTTGGAGACAGTACTGCACACACGTCTTTCTGACTCCACAGCGACTTCAACATGCACAGCAGAGGACTGTTCTGTCTGCTGCTGCACACAGCCCTGCTCTTACACTGTAAGTATTCACTACTGTCACTTCCATTCCTTCTCACCTGCACAGTAAAATCAGTTCTGCGTTAGAGATATGACTATAATGTAAATTACTCTTTATATATGAAACATATTTTCACAATCTACATTTGGAAATAAAATGTACAAGAGGTGTACTATCACAAACCAAGATGCTAATTGTATCCACA